GTCTATGGACGCGTGCACCCGCATGCAGACACCGTGGGACAGGAAGTGCCAGCAAGGACAGAGGAGTCAGCGCTGGATCGGAAACCCGCAGCAACGCTGGAGAGAAGGCTGAAAAGGACAGGAAGATCGGATTACGAGACATCATTTAAGGTAAGTGCTTAAAATAACATTGGGGAGAGAAAAAAGTTTTTGACTTTAATGTCACTTTAAGTGTGAATGAGCCCGGAGAGCTTTCTGGACTTGAATTTTCAGTTTGGTCTATTTCCCAAACCATTGCAATATTTTCTTTGTGCTTACCACCATATCTTATATACAGTCTACAACATTAAGTCACAGAATTGAGTAGGAAAGACTATAGTTCCACTGGCGGCCCAGAATAAGCAAGATATCTAGCAAATCCAGACATTCTGGTGGTGTTTTTTGTCACTGATGTGCCATAAATATATAAACCAGAGAGTGTCTCTCCTGGGGTTATCCTTAAATTAAATATGCATTTCTAAGTTTTTACCTCCCTTTATTTAATTTTTACCTCCCTTTATGTCATACCTCTCCTATGTTTTACATCCCTTTGATACAGTAGTAGCTATTTATTCATGTTATTTGGTGGGTGGATGGGAAGGCCTGGGATGGCCCCCTTTCTTCTTCCTTTTCTTTTTTTGGCCCCTCTTTACTATTTTCTCATTTTTATGTTTCTATCATCTCTACACTCTACATTCTTTTATATCTTTTTTTATTTCTACATTTTCTTTTTGTCATTTTTTTCTCAACCAAGTTTTCATCCCTTGTTCTTTTGCCCCCCCCCCCCTTTTTTTTTACAGAGTGTGTATAAGGCAGTGTTACTGTTGACACCTAATTTCATTGTCATCTTTGTCTTTTGACGAAAATTAATTTTTATTTTTAGTCACATTTTAGTCATAAGATTAGTTTTTATTTTAGTCTAGTTTTAGTCGACGAAATTCAAGTCGATTGTAGTCGACGAAAATTAAAGTTGATTTTAGTCGACTAAAATCTATTTTTGGTGTAATGCATTATTTAAGCAATTCTTTAGTATTTCCAAACTCATTTCATTATATATCCTTGGAGTAATTTTTTATTTTATTCAACTTTTATTTTTTACTTCATTGCTATCACATGGGGTGGGCTCACAAGCCCACTATGTGATGGCACATTGGAGGTGACAGGTTCTCTTTAAGGTGACATTAGGGGTCTTTGTCACATTTCCACTTCACTCGATTCAGCTGCTGAGGCAGCTGAATGTCAACACAGCAGGCAGTGGCTTGGAGTAATAGCTAGCCTGTTATTGGTTATTTTAAATTGCAATAGCAGGCTGGTTATTGCACCCACCCACTGTCTGCTGGCACTCAGCAGAGGGGGAAACTGAAGGAGACAGTTCTCCATCAGGTCCTCCTCTGCTGATTGACAGCAGGCAGTGGGAGGGTGCAATAACCAGCCTGCTATTGGCTATTACATGTTTAAATATCCAATAGCAGGCTGGGTATGGCTCCCAGCCTCTAGATGCACAGGAGGAAAGGGGCGGGGCAGAGGAGGAATGGGGAGGGGTAGAGGATGAATGGGCCGGCCAAGAGGAGGAACGGGCCGGCAAAGAGAAGGACCGGGACAGCAGCAGAGGTACAAGGGGGGACAGTGGGGGAATGGAGTCACAGCAGTCTCTCCTCCCCAGTGGTGCCGGCTGCAGTGGTCTGTGTCCCCGCTACCTTTGACGATACCAGCGGAGAGAGCAGCAGGGATTGAAAGGGACACAGTCTGCTGCAGCCAGCACGAGGGGGGAGGAAAATGGATGAGCAGAGTGGCTGGGGCACCGCTGCAAATCATCAATGATGAGAATCATTGACAACAATTCTCGTTATCGATTTCGTTTTTGTTTTCGTTCTTAGACGAAAATTGGGAACTGGATGAAAATTGTTTTCGTCTCATTAACTACTCTATAATTTTGTTTTCATTTCATTTTTATCACTAAAAAACGCCCCAAAAATTGGAAAAAAAATGTTGTCAACGAAATTAACACTGGTATCACGTAGTGAGATATTGATCCTACTCACAATGGGTAATGGTGTAACCTCTGCTAACCTGGAGAGCACGTACTCTGTTACTATTGTAATGTTTGGTTTTGTCATTCAATTTTTCTGGGCCCTGGTTCTGTGTTTTTCCTATGCTTATGAGCATATAACGAAGCTCACTCAAATGACTCTGTAACCCTGTAATTTTGTTTAAAACATTTAATAAAAATGTATTAAATGGGAAATATGCATTTTTTTCATGAACTGATCCCTTAAGTTGCTTTCATTCTGTAGACCGTTTCAGGCAAATTGTTAATTTACTATTAACATTAATAGTTAACATTAACATTATAACATCAGTTACTTTTTTGAACCCTACGCAAAAGTTTTTGAGTATTTGCTGTTGACACTTAAGCTTGTAATTTGATGTACTGAGTCAAATGAATATGATTGTATGCATCCAGTTAATATACCAAATTTTGCTGTATATATATACATATATATATATATATA